CTACCCTAAGTACTTTTCTTCCAAAATTAACAGCTTTTATATTTGTGTCAATTCACTACCTATATCAGCATTCTGTCCCTAAACTATCATCACTGTACACTAAAGGATACTTCAACAGTTCATAAAAGGTTCAAGAATGTTTCCTCATTTTTGAAGAAACTTCTGAAGAACTTTTTAAGGAATCTTGAAGTTTTCTCTCACCTTTTGAAGTTATCAAGAACCTAGCTTGTGGAAAAGTTTAGGACTGTGGATAAAAATATCTTAATGTCAGGATTTCCATTTCAGATGGAGACTCCATTTGCACTAGTACCATAATATAGAGCTATCTTTTCCATTTTCATATTGTATTGATACAGACACAACCATAGGTACCAAAATTTTAACTTTCAAATTTCTCTTACTAATCTTACACTGCTCCCAGGATTAAATGTCACTATCACACCTACACTAGACTGCATGTGACTTCATGCTGGCTGCCTAGGAACCAAGTCACTTAGATTCTAACCCAAACTCTGTCATTAACCAGTTACATAAATGACTTTCGGCAAGTCATAAACTCTCTGATCCTCAAACTGTTCCTATAAAGCTAAGAAGGTAAACAAGATTCCTCCCAGCTCTGGCACTTGGTAATTCTAAGACCTCCATTACTTCATAGGACTTTTCAAAAACCTTTTCTTGGTTTCAGTTTAAAAAGAAAAAACAAAAACAAAAACAAGAAAACTCCTTATTGTCAGTTTTCCAGCTAGCCAGAAGATAAGAATTTCCAAGATTTGTATCCCTAATAAAATGTCTGATGCTTCTGCTTATGATGCTAACAGTCAACATCAATAAACCCATGGTGCTCCCCAAAGCTAATTACAAAGAGAACACTTGGATGAGCTGGCTAACCAAAGATATCAATGCAGAAGAGAATGTTCACTTGTATACAAATTTTTTCTAAATACTGAAGCCTTCCTTGCCTGTGACCACAATACAATACTTCCAGAAATTTATCAAGTTCAACAGTGCTATCATCTATTTCATATACCAAAGTTCCACCACATACTCCAGATTACATGAACATAGCAAGTAAAATTTGCCTTACCTTTAGTCCATTCTGTGGGTTCATTAGAAAATTTCTTCCTATGTCATCAAACATAATGGTGTTTTTTTTGCTGTAAAACTCCGAAAACTTTCCCCATATAACACCAAGAGGCTTTACCTTAGAATAAAAGTTAAGATTTAACTCAAACTTTATCAATAGTTCACCCTTTCTTAAAAACAAAGACACTGTAAAATGCTCTACAGAACTATGCCAGAGCACCCCTTTCCTCCTGTACACAGTGATGGCTGGCTGTGTGGAGAGACTGGAATTGCGATGCAACACACTTTAAAGCACTATGTATCTTGCAGTGTTAACTTCTTAAAAGGTCTGTTTATGTCTAACTGAACTAATCTCATAAGACTTTTCCATAATTTTAACATGAAGACTTGGTGCCAAAGGAAGGGTAACTATTTAATTTAAAAAGTAAGAACCCAAAGTAATTGTTTAGATGTCTGCCAAGCACTCAGCATGACTTCCTGGGCTGGCATCTGCACCCTCAGAATCTGAAGGGTCACACAGGGTCTGTTTTCCAAACTAGAACACTTGAATGACGGACAATGAACCTGGCTCTTTAGCACAGAATTTAAGTATTTTGTAAAGGAAAACTGACTTTTGTAATTCAGTGGCACAGTTACACACACAATTTCCAGAGCACTTGGTTGCTTAACTTTACAAATACCATAATTTGTAAATTCTTGCTTTTGTTTCTGAATTAAGCTGAGCCTTCAAAAAGATAATTCCTTAATATTCAAGTGTTGATACTTGCATGAAGTCTCTCAAAGACCACACAAGAACAGTGACTGCCTGTAAGAAGGAGAGTAAGTAGCTGGAAGGCCCAGGCGGAGGAACTTGTCATTTTGTACTTTATTTTTACTTTTGAACCATGTGAATGTAGTTTACACTTTCAGAAAATGTTTTAAATAAATTTTTAGAAGTACACTTTGAGGAAGGCAATCACGGGGAAAACAATGTAGCACAGAGAAGGCAAATAGTCAATCTGTGGTATCTTACTACACTGATGGACAGTGACTGCAATGGGGTATGGGTGGGGACTTGATAATATGGGTAAATGTAGTAACCACATTGTTTTTTCATGTGAAACCTTCATAAGAGTGTATATCAATACCTTAATAAAAATAAGAAAAATAAAATTTTCAATTTCAAAACTGCTTCTATGTCTATGTGAGCAGATCATTAATAACTGCTTTCTTAAAAGAGGATTTCAAAAGGAAACATGAAAGAAATTACCTGAGGAATGCTTAAAAATACCTCTTCTAAATTAGAATTTCTTGGCAGGGGGCATAGGTATTTCTAAGAATTCCCTCAGTGATTCTACTGACTACCCAAGTTTTAAAAAAAATCCTGCTCTAAAGTAACATGAAGAAGTATAAATTTGTTATATCACCTTTCTGCATGGAGAGATGAAGAACCAAATGTTGGCTGAGCAAATTGTCATCTAAACACACATGAAACTAATGATTTTATTTTTTTTAAAGGTAAAGTTCTGCTTAAAAATCATTCCTTAAATATGAAGACTTAATCTCCTTTCAGTACAGGCAATTAGTTTCACAGAGAATTTGGTTTGGATCAATTGAATCTTTTCTCAAGACTGAAGAATACATTTCTGTACTTTATACCTGGTGAACTATACACACAGGAAAAGCACTTCTCCCAAAGCTTCAAACAGAAACCATTTTTAAAGGGTGACATGACTGCCAATCTACCCTAAGTACTTTTCTTCCAAAATTAACAGCTTTTATATTTGTGTCAATTCACTACCTATATCAGCATTCTGTCCCTAAACTATCATCACTGTACACTAAAGGATACTTCAACAGTTCATAAAAGGTTCAAGAATGTTTCCTCATTTTTGAAGAAACTTCTGAAGAACTTTTTAAGGAATCTTGAAGTTTTCTCTCACCTTTTGAAGTTATCAAGAACCTAGCTTGTGGAAAAGTTTAGGACTGTGGATAAAAATATCTTAATGCCAGGATTTCCATTTCAGATGGAGACTCCATTTGCACTAGTACCATAATATAGAGCTATCTTTTCCATTTTCATATTGTATTGATACAGACACAACCATAGGTACCAAAATTTTAACTTTCAAATTTCTCTTACTAATCTTACACTGCTCCCAGGATTAAATGTCACTATCACACCTACACTAGACTGCATGTGACTTCATGCTGGCTGCCTAGGAACCAAGTCACTTAGATTCTAACCCAAACTCTGTCATTAACCAGTTACATAAATGACTTTCGGCAAGTCATAAACTCTCTGATCCTCAAACTGTTCCTATAAAGCTAAGAAGGTAAACAAGATTCCTCCCAGCTCTGGCACTTGGTAATTCTAAGACCTCCATTACTTCATAGGACTTTTCAAAAACCTTTTCTTGGTTTCAGTTTAAAAAGAAAAAACAAAAACAAAAACAAGAAAACTCCTTATTGTCAGTTTTCCAGCTAGCCAGAAGATCAGAATTTCCAAGATTTGTATCCCTAATAAAATGTCTGATGCTTCTGCTTATGATGCTAACAGTCAACATCAATAAACCCATGGTGCTCCCCAAAGCTAATTACAAAGAGAACACTTGGATGAGCTGGCTAACCAAAGATATCAATGCAGAAGAGAATGTTCACTTGTATACAAATTTTTTCTAAATACTGAAGCCTTCCTTGCCTGTGACCACAATACAATACTTCCAGAAATTTATCAAGTTCAACAGTGCTATCATCTATTTCATATACCAAAGTTCCACCACATACTCCAGATTACATGAACATAGCAAGTAAAATTTGCCTTACCTTTAGTCCATTCTGTGGGTTCATTAGAAAATTTCTTCCTATGTCATCAAACATAATGGTGTTTTTTTTGCTGTAAAACTCCGAAAACTTTCCCCATATAACACCAAGAGGCTTTACCTTAGAATAAAAGTTAAGATTTAACTCAAACTTTATCAATAGTTCACCCTTTCTTAAAAACAAAGACACTGTAAAATGCTCTACAGAACTATGCCAGAGCACCCCTTTCCTCCTGTACACAGTGATGGCTGGCTGTGTGGAGAGACTGGAATTGCGATGCAACACACTTTAAAGCACTATGTATCTTGCAGTGTTAACTTCTTAAAAGGTCTGTTTATGTCTAACTGAACTAATCTCATAAGACTTTTCCATAATTTTAACATGAAGACTTGGTGCCAAAGGAAGGGTAACTATTTAATTTAAAAAGTAAGAACCCAAAGTAATTGTTTAGATGTCTGCCAAGCACTCAGCATGACTTCCTGGGCTGGCATCTGCACCCTCAGAATCTGAAGGGTCACACAGGGTCTGTTTTCCAAACTAGAACACTTGAATGACGGACAATGAACCTGGCTCTTTAGCACAGAATTTAAGTATTTTGTAAAGGAAAACTGACTTTTGTAATTCAGTGGCACAGTTACACACACAATTTCCAGAGCACTTGGTTGCTTAACTTTACAAATACCATAATTTGTAAATTCTTGCTTTTGTTTCTGAATTAAGCTGAGCCTTCAAAAAGATAATTCCTTAATATTCAAGTGTTGATACTTGCATGAAGTCTCTCAAAGACCACACAAGAACAGTGACTGCCTGTAAGAAGGAGAGTAAGTGGCTGGAAGGCCCAGGCGGAGGAACTTGTCATTTTGTACTTTATTTTTACTTTTGAACCATGTGAATGTAGTTTACACTTTCAGAAAATGTTTTAAATAAATTTTTAGAAGTACACTTTGAGGAAGGCAGGAGTTTCATTTATGAATAGTATGAAATTACAAGGGGTTAAATGGTATAAATAAATGGTAACAAAGTTTGTCATTTAAAAATGTTTTTTCTCTTTCTATTGTTAATACAAAGAAAGCCTTTTTTAATCTTAAGTGTCCTAGCTACTACAGGAATGTTACTAAACTATTTTAATTTTATTACTTAAAAATTTTATTTGCCATGAATTTGTTTTCACTATTTGTTTACTACTGAGACAACCCCCTGCCCCCACTCCCACCACCAAATGCTTGAAGTCATGGAACTGATACAATAAGCCAGATTCTTGGGTTTCTTAGCTAACAAAAGCCTCAAGAAATATGACAAGAGCTTTATTTTATGACACTTAGGGTTACAAATCCTAGATCTTTATAAATAGTGCTGTCATTTTCAAATTAGGTTAAGTGCCATGTTTTTTCCAAAAAATGGAATACTTTACTTTCAATTAGTAGTAGTATTGTGCTGACTGTAGAAAAAGTATCTGAAAACACAAAAAATCACAAAGGAAAATTTTTAATTACTTATTATCGAGTCAGTACCCAGGAGGACAAGATACTCTGATGTATCTTTTTTATCAATAGCAGCAGCTTCAGAAAGTACGTCAACCTTTTGTTAAGGTGGACCCTGAACCAAACAAAGGTTAAGAGCCATTTTCTAAGAGTTTGCAAATTCTCTCTCTAAAATACTTTCACTTTAATGATAGTATCATGAAAAAAATTTAAATTACTAAATATCCTATTACATCAAATGATTGGCTGTATTGCAAAAATTTTCATATCCAATGAAATATTGGAATATTGAGAATTTATTTTTATTCATCTAAGTTCTCACTATTACAAACACTACTATGTTTAACATTTCCCAAACTTCTTTTTCATGTTTAGATTTTATAAATGTACTTTAGTAGATAATAAATTATCTTCAACCCTTGTTGTAAGCAGTATTTCCTTTATTGAACAAATCCTCATGCACTTAAGCAATTCAATTTATGATTTTAACAGTTCCAATAGTGCTTTCTCCTAAGCTTTCCTAGTTCACTAAATTCTCCCCAATTCCTGTTTGTGTGTTTCCAAAAGGTATGGGCCATGTCTCCTCACCTACAACAGTGCCTATTTGAGTGCCCTGTGAATAGCAGTTCAATATGACTAGCTGCTTGACAACGAAACAAAGTGAAGACCTTAATCTTTTTTAACCAAACCCTTTCCTCTGATGGTTCTTGTTGCTCTTCTCTAGGGCTACACATACACCACCCCAAAATACAATGCACCATGGTGTGTCTGTTTTTACTTATGAGTTTCACACAGGGCAGGGCAAGTATATTTTGATTTGTTTCTAGTATCTTCCTTAATGATATTCAGTAATTTTCCTCACCTAATTTGTCTTTAGTAACAGTGTGCTACCATCATCATGGGACAATTACCCATGACCTTTCTTGACAATGCTGCCTCAAGACACTTATCATTAAAATTCCAATCAATCTTAAATACATCTTCCTATGTCAACCTCAACTGACACTTCACTATCCACTCAGGTGTATATCTAAACTTTCTGTAGTTTATTCCATCAAAATAAATACAAAAAGTACACTACAAGTTAAACAAGTCTTTAAATATCAAGTAAAATGATTTCTTACATCTATTAACCCTCTCCTTGGAGTATGCACTGTTATCATAGCAGCACTATCCAACATGAAGGTAATCTTATAATTTGCATTTGTGCTCACTCCCAGCTCCTAAAATACAAATATTCATGTGGTTAAAATATAATAATGAAGAAAATTCCAGGCTTTCTCAATATTTCAGCTATAATTTCCCATAATGCCAACTTTCTACCCTTTGGGCCACCACATCTTGCTCAACAACTGGCAAGTTTTTTAGTTTCACTTTGCTAAATCAATAAATGATAGTCCAAAGAAAATAAACTACAAACAGGATACTTCCCAATTTACTATTTTAGAAGAGGCTAACTCCTTCTAAGTATTATGCACCAGAAAATAAAGATTATAAAATAGAGGGAAAAAAGGAGGAGGAAATTTGCTATTACTTTAATCTTGAAAAAGAATTAGAGTATTCAATATAATCTACCATTAAACAGACTTTAAACACACCTCTACTCCTGATACTGGCATTTGTTTATCTGCTAAAATGCCCTCCAATGAGAATAAAATTAATTCAATTTGGAACTTCCAGAAAGACAAATGCAATTTCAAAACATTCTTAAATGGATCATCTAACACTTACTTTCATTTTCGCTTCGATCAGGACAAATGCAATTTCAAAACATTCATAAATGGATCATCTAACACTTACTTTCATTTTTGCTTCAATCCACTTCATATTTGTTGCAGCTAAAACATAAGGAATGATGATACAATACAAATGAAAGGCTTGAATTCATTAAATAAAATTTTCATCTGTATAATTAGTTTTCTAAGTAAGACTAAAAGTTCAAGTTCATTACAAATAATAATTCTGAGCAAACTTAATGGTAATTTTTAAAAATATATATTAAAATAAACCTATTTCAGTGTGTTTTCAGGAAAGAATAAAATTTAAACAACTTTCATCTAAAAGATACAGGATACCAATGCACAAAAGAACTTTGAACACAGTAAATTTTTAAGTTAAAACCTTAACTCCTTTTTAAAAACAGCTATGACACTATTCTCTATAACTCTGAAACCTAAATTTAAGTTGCCTACATATCTATTTTCTTCTATGATCCTACTGCTAGGCAATGCACAGGTATACATATCAATATAAGCAGATTAACGTTATGTATGTCTCAAAGTTAATGTTGAAGACTGCTAGGTGTTAGTTGAAAACTTAGCTTTCAACAAGGAGTTTGAAACAATCACATTCAAACACATTCACAGTAATAAATAGGATTTCCAATTATTAAGTAACGATTTTATGTCTAGTACTAGACATGGCACCAGTTGTTATACTGATATTCTCATTCTTACAACTACTGTGTAATACAGGTTTACTTATGAGAAAATTAAGGCTCAGAGAGAGTAACTGATCTACCCAGTCTCATAAGGGGAAAGCCAGAAATTAAAATGCTAGTCTATTTAGCTCCAAGCTGAAGTGCCCTTTTCAACGTATTACCTAGAAATATCATAATTTACATAAGTAACTTATTTTAAACATATGTTTTAAAGAACATTCTCTGAACTTCTAAGTCTAACAATGCTTAGAGGATAATTTTCTCAAATGTCATCTTAGATGTTAGAGTTGTTGAACAATTTGTTCCACCAGCTTTCTTCCCTGTATCCTACAAAACAGAAAATTTTTAACTATGTGTTTAATTTCAAAAGCTGTAAGCTCTTATTAATGTTGCACAATGGAGATACTGATTATAAGGAAAAGGAAATTTACAGACTGTAGTAACAACTTGGTGGGTTCTCATCAAAAACCTAGTACAATTAAATGTAGCACTTTAAATTGATTGGCTTTTATTTAATTCACAATCAGGATAGCTCTTTTCTGCTTGTGATTTGACAGGAGACAATTTAAATACTTGTGGAGAGATGAGATATAAATCAATATACTGCTCCCCTTTTTGAGAAAGTCTTGCCACAAAAAAAGTCAACCTAACTAAACTGCGTGTTCACTAATGTAGTAAATTTACTTTTTGGAGCAAATTTATCACAGGCCTGTAACTTCCAGGAATGGTCTATAGACCACAATTTAAGTAACACTGCTTTAATCCACTTACTAATTTTGCATGACTCACATTTTTATTTATTTCTTAAGAATTACATCACTGAGTCTTTTTTTATATATAATATTCTCCAATTGTTTTGAAACTAGAGTGACAAAGAAAGGATAAAGCAACAATATCCAGAATCACCAAAGGTTCAACAGTAAAGATCAGAAAGAAAAGTTTCTGATCAAGGTGGGTCTTGGGAAAATAGGCCATTTTTATTTTGACACCATAATCTACTCTCTTGTATTACAACAATCTAAGCGGCATTTGGCAAATGTAAGTTTATATTTCATGTGATACAAGAAAGTCAAACATGCTTCATCAGAAATTTGCTAAAACAAATAAAAAATATGTCATATTTAAACATGTCATTTTAAGTCACATTTTATAAAGTGAAGTAATATAAGGAACAACCTTATTTCCATGGAAATCTATACAAAAAATATACTTACACCATATAACAATGTCATAATCCTCATATGCAGATGTTAGGAACTCATGAAGATATGGCCGCATTAATTCTACTCCCGTCTCTGCACAAGACCTATGGTCTAAAAGAAAATCAGTCACAGGTGATCACCAGTTAATTACTGTGGACAAGAACCTAATATAATGAAATTAATGAAATGTACTGTAAACACTCAAATGCAAACTACTTCAGACTGAATTACATTAGCTGACAGAGATGTCCTTCAAAGTACACAATTTAATATTCTTACGATCCTATTTTATATGATCAATTTTTGTTCAATTTGTGAAGAACAATACCCAGAATTCAGGCTTATATATTAAACTATATATTTTTTTTCACATGTAGTCTCTAAAGTGTACATGTTATTTTATGATATGAAAAACAAACTAGAGCCACCTATACTTTACTTTTAGCCATTCACCTTCAGAATATGATCATATTTTACCAGAATGGCAAGCACTAAGTGTACATTAATTTATAACATGTACTAACTTTAGAATTAGAGATAAATTCAATTCTACTATCAGGAGTTAATGAATCATTTACTTGGCAATGTTAAAGGATGAAGTGAACATCTTTTTTTATTGACATGATTAATTTTAAATTCAAGAATCTTCCATGAACATAAGTAAACAGAAAACTAGGGATAAAATATCAAAAATGACTTTTAAATAATCCTCATAAAATTTTAAATGTTAATTAGGGAAGGGCTTGAAATTATGATGCATCCATAAACCAGAATACTGTGTGATCAAAAATATATACATATATTTCATTTACAATGAATATTAAATGACTAAGAAGATGTTCAATATATCACTAAGTAAAAGCAAAGAGGACATACATACAAACAAACACACCCTGTAAGATACACATCAAAATATAAACAAGGTCATCTTTGGTTTCAAGATTACAAATGACTTCTTTTTTTGATTATATGCATTTTCTACAATAAATAATTTGCTTTTGTCAAATATTTCACATTGCAAAGAAAAAAAACAAACAAAAGAAAAAAGTTATTATGGGTAACAGAAGATGAAGCACCATTTTAGTTGACTTACCAAATAATGTATAATCAACATCGAGCACCAAAAGCTTTTTTCCTTCCCTAGGAGGATTCAAAATTTCCACTTTGTAATCTTTCACTCTGCGAGAAATTTTCAGTAGGTTTTCTTCCCTATTAGAAAAATAAAATCATATGAAACATCCACTTTTTCTCACATTACAACCAATTTCCTTTGATAGCAAAAAGCACTTACCTATTTTCTACTTCAACTACTTCATCTTCAATATCAAAGTCATTGACAACATCATCATTGTCAGGAGGTGGACCTAGGACATCTTCCTATTAAGATGAAAAACAGTTTTGTTTTACCATATATTATCTTTTAACGTAACAAATAAATACACAGCATAAAGAGCAAATGAGAGGTATAACTAGAGTTCCAGAGTCTTTCAAGCACACAATGTGGGAAATGTTCCACATTTTATAAATCATTATATACATTCACTGGGCAGATTTACCATGTTAAATCTGGCCATTTGCACTACTATATACTAATGGCTAGCTATATACTAACAAGTTCTCCAGTATTTGTTTTCTGCTGAGTTAATACCACATTGATTGTGCAGTTCTTATTTTTCATTGACTACTAAACTGACAATTTTACCACAATTAAAACTATGATACAACAGTGTAATAATCATAATACCTTGAAAGGGACAAATGGTAACAAAAGTAAACATTTACCAAGCTCTCCTCACGAGTTCCCATCATCATGATTTTAGTATTTGGTTTCAGTTTGAGAGCTCCAAGCTTAACATCATTTTCTGCAGGTTTGCCTACAATACAAGCAAATGACTGTTTTCTCACTAAAGTTTAGGTGCTGGTTTCACTAACCCATTATACAAAACCCTAACATTAAAAGGTTTGGTACAGATTTCACAGTAGGTTTGTTTTTTTCCTTACATTAGCAAACTGTTACTGCTGAATTAGCAATGTCTAACACACCAAGTAGCAACTAATACAAAGTTTGTTTATTCCCCAACTCCATCTTAGAGGAACACCCTTATTCAACTAAGCAAAATAAGTTCATGTTTTATCTCTTCATTCAAGATGAAGATAACTTTTTCCAGAAAATCTTGAAAATTGAGTTCCTAAGATAACACTATAGATTTACCACTATTCAAAACTCACCCTTCAATGACAAACACAAACACCATGAAAGTCCCTTTCAGGCTGGGTATGAACATTGCCATAATTTTTAAACCATCATATTATTACTTTTGAAACAGAAAAGACATTTGAGGAGACAAGCCCAAGCTGCTACAAAAAAGCTGTGCTAGAAGGCAGATGGCAGATATTACACTGTTTTACCTGGGACTTGTGTGCTGAAGGTTTAACAAGCAAACACCAACTGTCAGAGGAATCAAAAGTAATCTTAATAGTGGTGGTATTTTCAAGTAATCTTAACTGTCTTACTTTTATCATAAAACACTTTTGGGAATATCCCTATCAAAGAAATCTCAAAGGAGATGGAATTATTAAAGAAAAGAAATAATGTACCATAAATAGACCAACGCAAAAATCTTGAAGTGAGGAGAGATTTACCTTTAACTTTGAGCCCAAGTAATTTTTGGCGCTCTGGCAACACTCCAGTAAGGGTCTTGAGAAACTGTTTGAGATCTAGCACAGTGTCATCTTCAGAAAGTGAGGTCACTGAATATTCCTGTCCTCCCCATTTTACAATGATAGGGAGAGCCATCCTTGAAACATATGAGATAGCTTTCCTTCAGGAAATGGTACCTAGAAAGAAGGGCATATGCAAATATACAAGTTAAAATAGACATATCAAAGATTTAGCCAAACCTGTAACTTTTAAGTTTTATAACCTGTGTGATTTGGGTCCTATTTCACAACTTGATTGTAGAGTAACAGGATTTTCTTACAGAATGCTACCAGAACACCAAAAGTTATTAAGATTCAAAATTAAAAATTTCCTACCCTCCCTGCTTTTGCCTTAGAGTAACTACTTCCTAATATTGTATCATAGATCCTTCCTGTTAAACTAGAAAGCTGTAATAATGAGGTATCTCGCCCTCACTGACCACATTTATGCTACAGGCAAGTTCCTCTATAATGAAACTTCAAAGTTTACTTAACATTTGAGAGGTAGTACAGTGATTGATTTAGAGCACAAACTCGAGGGCAAGACTGCCTGGCTGGGTTCAGATCCCAGCTCTCCCGCTTACCAGCTATTTGACTGTGAAAAGTTCCCTGACTCTTAGCACCTAGGTTTCCTCAACTGTAAAGTAAGGATAATATTACCTACACTTCTTGGGGGTTTTTACAAGGATTAAGCTAGTTTATAACTTATAAATCACACAGCACTTGCCACATAGTAATCACTATATAAGTAAGTATTGCTTAAGTAATTTTTTAAATATGAACTGAAGGGTTCCAGGTACTGTGCTACATAAATAATAAATGGCCATTAGCTTTGTATTTAATTAATTTGAAGTTTTTACAAAATCTTACTTAACAAGGTTGTTAAAGAATTGTGCCTCTTTTGTAACAATGAAACAGTTCAGAGAGGTTATGTAATCTGTTTATGGGCACATAGCTGGTAATAGAAGAGGTCTCTGACTAAATCTCATTGCTTCCTCTACACCATAACCATCTATCTTGAATTGGATCTACAGGAGTTCAGGTATCAAAGATCAGTAATACAAAACCCACAGGCACAGATATAAGCACATAATTATATTGCAGCTGCTACTCTTGTCAACAACAGCATGTAGGTCTCTTCCCCCACAAAGCTTTCTACCAGTTTTCAAAAATTTGTTCCCCCCACACAGGTCAGAGAACGGGATTTTCTAATCTCAAGTATTGACATTTCCAAATGCTATCACTTACTTAATGAAACATCTGGTTGTACTCTTCCTATGAGAGACTTCAAGAGAGAAGGCAATTTCTGAACTTTAATATGCAAAAATAATCTGGCAACTAAACAGGTCTTCAACATGCCCACTAGAAGAGAGCACCATAAATTTTCTTATATTTATTCTGTTATGTTTACAACCTACTCCACTAAAAATGTAATTCAGGACAATGCAATCCATTTGGGGGTTAACAAAATCACAAATGTTATGATCCTCAATAAAAAGCCAAATGGACCATCTGAGTCAAACTGAAACACAGTTTATTCTTCTGTGAAGGTGAGAATAAAAATGAAAATTTACAAGAGCTAGGAATGTAAACAACACTAACACAGTATGTTGTGTTGGGCAGAGCAGAGAGTTTGGAGTTCACCTAAGCTCCAGATGAGCTTGGACAAGTCATTTCACCTCCAGACCAGTGTTCTCAACATGCAGTCTCTAGACCAATCAACAACATTCATCCCACTTGGTAACCTGTTAAAAATGTAACCGGGGCTGGGAGGGAAGGGACCTAGCAACTTGTGTTTTAACAATCTCTGTCCCCACATCCCCCCATATCTGAGGCATGCTAAAGTTTGAGAGCCAGTGCTCTAGGCTGTTCAATTTTCTCAGCCTAAAAAGGAAAATGTGCCAGATGACATGGGCTCTATGTGCTTAGTAAAGAAGTATACTAACTATGCATTGCATATGCCACAAGTACGAATTCCATGTTGGCAACTGCTCTAATGAATCGAGCATAACAAAAAAAGACCATAAAAATTAAATGCATAAATGCTTAAAACTGTTTTTAAAAGTAACTGAACTTTATTTCTTCAATAGTCAGATAATTCACAATGGAGCAACACACTGCAAATGCATGAGTCATTCACATTTAACCTTCTTTCCACAATTCTACTATTTTGTAACATCCCGGGCCCTATCAGATTTATAAACAGAAAATGATTTGGACCGGGAATGGCAATCAAATCCAGACAAGGAAGCAAGGAGCACACCTTTAATGATGACCCTAGAGTCAAGAACAGCTTGATTAGTTCATCTTCCTAACATACTGTGTTGACTTGCTCAGTCAGCTCCTCAACTTCAAGATGAAGCTATTAATATTTACTTGACAAGAATAGTGTAAAGGCATGACACATACCTGAGCACTCTGTGAACTCTAATGTGCATGAAGAATGGGGGTGTGGGGCTAGAATAACAACATACTAAACTGATTTATCTCATTTAATCTTTATAATCCTTAACAACTGTCTTCATCACACAGATTACAAAACTGAAAAGTAAAACAACTTTCCCAAGACACGACTAAAAAGGTGTAAAGGCCGAAACCTGAAAGTACTAGAAGCTAAAGTTAACAACACGTGAATTGAGAACGGGGAAGGGGGTAATTTTTCAACAAGCCTACTAAAATGAACTGTGAAGTACTCTCAACTCCTGGTCAGGACTGCACAGAGCAACTCCTGGGCAGCGCGGAGGCGAGAGCTGGGAGACCTAACGAGTATGGACACAAATGCAGGCAGGAAGAGACCCCCAAATCCAAAGGAGCCGGATGCTTTCAACAAGGAAGGTGAGGAGGAGCGATGGACAAACCCCAGAAGGAGGACTGATGTTTGGGGACGCAAAACCACTGGGGCACGGGAAGTCCTACAGGGGCGAGAAGGCCGGACGGGAGAACGGCCGCCCCTGCGCCCGGCAGGCCGGGGCAGGAGGCCTGGGCCACAGGCCAGGGCAGACGCGGCCCGGGGCGCCCAGGAGCAGCCCCTAGCCCACCCCGGCCCGCCGGCGGAGGCCAGGTGGCGAGGGCAGCAACGCCGCGATTCCCCGGACCCAACGGCGTCTCCGCGGGCGGCGTGCCAGGTTGTCCCGCGTACCCTCACCTGCAGCGCGGCGGAAACGGCGGCAGCGGATGCTGGCACCGGGAGCAGCGGAACCGAAAGCAACCGGAAGTGAAAGGCGGGGACCGGAACCGGCTAGAGAACCGGAAGTTAGGGTTTGAGACAAGCGTGTTGGAGGCAGGACTGCTCCATCCCTGTTTCTCTTTGGAGGTAGTCATAAATAGCCGCTCCCAGGGCTCTCCTCACCGCGACGAGGGAGCCAGGCCTTTCCGGGACTGTGACCACTGTGCAGATCCCTACGACCCCTGGGTGGATGCCGGTCCTCGCCTGTTGTGCGCATGCTCCTGCTAGGGAGCCCTGAGCGGGGAGGGTGTTTTGCGGGAATGACATAGCTGGTACTGTTTCGCCAAAGCAGGAGGTGGGGCAGGGGTGGTGCACTGGCGTTGCAGGTGTGCGGAGATCTTCGTGGGACTCGGGACTAGGACTTGTGTGACTGTGTCCTGTTTCGAATGAGGCCTCAAAGGTAACATTTGAGGGCTGAAGATTTGATACCTTTCCCAGGCACCGGGGGTCACCAACACTAGTAATTTCGAGAGTTTAGACTTCTACCCATTTTGTCCAGTCCAAGGGAAAACCGGATGTCAGGAAAGGGAAGGGGCAGGCCTGACTCAAGAGGACCAAGGGAGCAAATCTCAGTATGACAGCTGCCATCGAGAGTACTGTAGTATTGTACTGAATTATATCTCCACCCGCCCATCCCCACCTTTATTCCATGTACCTGCTGAATTCAAGGAAAGCCCGTTGCAAACCCTGACAAGAGAATTCCAAACTTAAATAGAAATTCAGAGCAGTCCCTATCTGGTCGATACAGCGAATTCCCAACTTGCATCACTTGCTGTTAGGCAAAAAAAAAAAAAAAAGATTGCCCGCTAGTTTGTTGTATATGGCACCATGCAAAACTAACGTTTTCAAAAGGAAGGAAAAACGTGAACATAATACCGGCCCAAAATATACACTAGTCCTTGAAATGCTTGTACTTTTCCTTATACTTGACAGCGATATAACTGATCATGTTTTCCTTAAGGGAAGCAAAGAGCCAAAGTTTTGTGTTTTAACAGTTTTTAGTTACAGTCTCCTTCCCTCTCTCATTTGGTAATTTTTATTAAACTAGCAATGCATGATTATGCTAATTTTTAAAAAGGAAACGTGTTTTCATTAAAAGTATGCCCTCTTAAAAAAAAGATGAAAACCCCTAATTAAAAGAATTTGTACAAAAATCACACATTAGCAATCCAACTAAAGAGATAGTCAAAAGACGATGGACTAGACCCCAGGATGGATTATAGTTTTCTTTCAACCCAATCTCTTCCTAGCTTTGTTCACGTGTTAACCAGCTATTTGGCCACATTATATTTTTGCTATTATGATTAGAGAAGCTTATTTTTGCTCATCATCAAGATCAACTAAAACATTGTTAAGCTTCACTAGTTCTAAGCAACAGGATTTATGAGGTTCTTTTTAATAATGGAATAGCCACTGAATGAAGGATCTGCTAAATTGTTATTACTAGAGTGCAGATAATTTAACAGTTGAACAGTAGTATTTCTCACTGAATAATGGTAGAGTATTTTGGACAAATGGTCCATTTAACAGATGATTTCAAGCTGCCTTTTGTTCATATCTCAGTTCCTCCAAATCCATTTCTAGTTGGCTAAACATTCATGAAATCAAAAATAATGTTATGAAAACACATGGAGTAGATTGAAAGATATTATATGAATAAAGGAACTGGACTCTTGGTAACTAGGAATGAATATAAACTGGACCTAAAAAGGGCTCACAGCAACTCACAACTGCCAGTAAGTAGAGAAAAATTAAACTTTGCCTCCTATTGCTCATTCAAGCCTCTCCTCACTTGCATGGAGGATTATATACCTGTGTCTCACTCATACTTCTCTGCAGCAACTAAAGATGCCTGGCAATTCCTTCATAGGGTTTCAATAGGTTGTCAGATCTAAGAGGCTAAAAGAAATAATGACTTCATTTCACAAAATCAGATGATAAACTTACTACCACTGTGACCATGTTTGGATTGGAAAACTAAAGGCCATTTTGCACCCCTCTAGTATCAGAAATCCTCTAATACACTGTTTTTATCTCTCTCTTCCCCTGAACTATTTACTCCTTCCATTTTCTTTCTGAGGGCATTTTCTTCCTCTCTTCCCAGTTGGAAAAAAAAATCCTCTTTCTTTGTTAAATTTAGTTCACTATGGTTCTTTGTTTCTCTTCTACTATCTATTCCCTTACCTTTTTCCAGACTGCAATCAGTGAGCTGAAAATGTTTAGAATTTGCCCCATAGGACTCGACAGGTCCTTAACTCAGCCTGGCAAGTTTACTGTCTTCCCCTACTCAACCTGCTTTCCCAAATGGCTACTTAAAACCTCAGCTCTCTTCAGACCTTAGATCTTACAATTTACATCCTTGCTCTTGGCAAATGATGTCTCATATTTTACTAAGAAAATAGAAGATCTAGAAGAATTACCTCAACCTCAGAACTCTAAATCTACAAACTAAATTGTATCTGCATTTGTCCTGTCTTCTTTTGCTTCTCTCAGTGCAGTAATTTCCTTCTACTTGAAACCATCCCTTATACTTATCTCTGGCTCCCTCTTATGAAGCTTTCAATAAACCTAGTTTTGGGGTTTATCCTTCTCTCTTGCTCTGTTATTTTTAACATCTTTCTACTAGCTCATTTCCATCAATGATAAATCTTGCCATTGTAACTACTGTCTTTTCCTTTCAGTTGGGTATTTCAAAGCATTGTTTGCATTTCTCTAAACTTGACACACTCTGTAATTGTATATTTCTTTCAGAAAATTTGTTTAATGGCAGTCTCACTATAGTAAGCTTTGTGAGAAAACAGACCATATCTGATTAACTCACCCTTACATTCTCAGAACCTACCATGATATTGGCTAAAGAAGGTACTCAATAAATATTTGCTGGATGGATGAATAATGAATGAATAGAATGTAAAGTAATGAAAGCATATTATATAATAATACATATTATACATGTACATGTCAGTGAATGATTATAATTTGCATATGTATCTGGATGCACAGGAGGGTTCTGAAATACACACCAAAATGTTAATGGTTCCTGGCACCATAGGATGCACTGAGTATTTTTGGTAAGTGAATGAATGAAATTATCTCTTGATGGCATCACAGAACAGGTGATTTTAATCTTGTTCATATATTTCTGTGTTTGAACTTTTTACAATTTTTCATTCTTTTAAAAAAATTCAAATAGTACAGATATATCCTTACCGCTGTTAATTTTTATTCCTGCCCTTGATCTTTTCTATGCTTTAAGTATTACATATGTGTATATAGTTTATATATGACATTTAAAATAATTATAGATTTACAGGAGGTCACAAAAAGATGTGTACCCTTCACTCAGTTTTTAATAATGATTACATCTTACATGACTGTAGTATAATATCACAACCAAAACACTGACTCTGATACAGTATGTGTGCATATACCAAGCCATTTTATCACTTACAGATTCCTATAACCACTTCTATAATCAAGATGCAGAATTCAGAATTCTATTACCACCACTACCCTGTTGTACTCACACCCATCCCCAATCCTTTCACCATTCCTAACCCTTAGTCACTAATCTGTTTTCTATCTATATGATTTTGTAATTTCCGGATAATAATAATAATATGTGAGTGGAATCAAAAAGTGTATGCTTTTAGAGACTGACCTTTTTCATTCAACATAAGGCCCTTGAGTTCTATTCAAGCTATTGTGTGTTGCAATAGTCCATTCCCTTTTGTAACTGAGTAAGATTCCCTTGTATGGACTTATCACAATTTGTATAACAATTTACCTATTGGACATTTTGATTGTTTCTCGTTTTTGGCTTTTACAAATAAACCATTTGTATGTAATATAATATTGATACATTAAGGCTTCAGTCTGCCACTTTATTGTTTTTTATTTGTTCCTTCTGGCTTTGGTTTTTCTATTTTCCTCCTGTTGGTTACATGAACATGATTTTAGAAGGCCATTTTGATTTGTCTGTAGTGTTTTTGAGTGTATCTCTTTGTATAATTTTTGGGGGTTCTAAGAATCACATTGCAGATGCATATCTCACCACAGTCTACTGGTGATACCATTTTACTAGTTCAAGTAGTCTAAAAACCTTACCTCCATTTAAGTTCCTTTACTCTCCCCAGTTTATAATTGTCTTAAATATTTCCTCTACATAGATTGAGATCCATATCAAGCAATGTTAGAGTTTTTGCTTCAATCATCAAACATAATTTAGAAAATTCGAGAAGAAAAGTCTATTGTATTTACCCACATTTTTATTTTTGCCATTCTTCTTCCTTCCTAATATCCCAAGATTCTTTTTAGCATTTCCTTTTGGCTGAGAGAACTTCTTTTAGCCATTCTCTTAGGATAAGTGTGCTGGTGGCAAATGCTTTCAGGCTTCCTTCTTTGGTCTCAATTCCCCTTCATTACTAAAGGATATTTTCACTGGATATAAAATTTTGATTGACAGTTCTTTTCTGACACTTGAAAATGTGCTACTTCCTTCTGGCCTCCATAGTTTCAGAGGATAAATCTGCTGTCATTTGGATTGTTTTTCTGGCTCTGTACGCTTTTATTTCTTGCTACTTTCAGTATCTTTTTGTCTTAGTTTTCAGAAGTTTATGATGTGTTTTCATGGAAATTTATCTAGGTTATTCTGTTTGAGGTTCATACAGCTTCTTTAACCTATAGGTTTATATGTTTTGTCAAATTTGGGAAATTTTCAGAAATTATTTCTTTAAATACTTTTTGATACACTCTCTTTCTCCTGTCCTTCTAGGACTCTGATGGCACAAATGTTAAATCTGTTGGTACAGCCCACAGGTCTCTAAGGCTGCTTATTTTAAAAATCTATTTTTTTGTATTGTTCAGATTGGATCTTTTTATTATTCTCTCTTTAGGGTTACTGAATCTTTTATATCCTCCATTCTTCTGTTGAGTCTATACACTGATTTTTAATTTAGGATATTATAATTTTTCAGTTCTAAAATTTCCATTTGTGTTTTATTTATATCTTCTTTCTTTGCTGAGACTTTTTTTCAAGAATGTTCATAATTGTTTACTGGAACAATCTTATGTTGGCTGCTTTAAAATACTTATCAG